TCGTGTGCAGAAGTAATGTAACGTGTAAATTTCAAATTGGCTTGTAACAGTAAGGGTTGCGATTTACGGCAGGTTGAATCGTGATTAGGTAAATGTACTTGATTAATTGCATTGAAGCGGTAAATAAATCCCCAAACTAAATAGCTCTGTAAGTTTTCGACATTGGATGCTGACCATATGTTTTAGTGGACTCATCTAGCTGAAGGCGCTCGGTCATGCATCCGCACCAGATCACGTGTGGTAACGCTGCGCTCAACATCTACCGCAATCGCTAGCCAGATTAGATCAGAGAATTCCGATATATTGGTAATCGCCAAATACACTTTTCCGATCTTCTCGACTCTGTCTTTTAATTTCTCTCGATGGGAACAAGTTATATTAGAAGGCGTTACTGTTAGAAGCGTTGTCAAACACTGAATACCTGTATCATCCTCAGCATCACCTAGTTAGCATCCGGTGAAATGGATAAATTCACGATCGATATTAAGGAGTTACAAAAGGTATTTACACTATATTCATGAATCGATCTAAGTTAAACAGATATTCGAAACCTGGAATCAATTGACGGCCGTTTCATTCTAGTATGGGACTATTCCGTAGTGCTCATCCACAACCCAATGAATAGAAATCGAACCCATCTGAAACATTCGATCTCGCGCGAAAATACTTAACCCCTAGACCACTGATCCAGTATTGGATGGTGTTAATGTCTAACTTCAATCGGTCCATGAAATTGTGCTACCATATTTGATTGTCTTAGGTAAACAACTGCCTAACAGCTGAAACGTCTGAACTCGATTGATCATGGTTTTTGACTGGAACTCAAAACATTTCTTCAACAAACTGGTCACTATTAGGTTTTTTTATTTTAGAAAATTATTTACACTTTTACTGTACCGGTTTACTGTTAGGCATACTTAAGATTCTCAAAGGTTTCGAATTTCTTTCACACTACATACAAATAGATGTATCGTTTGTATGACAGGTTATCTAGATTTCTAGGTTCAAGTTTGTACGAAATTCAGGAACTGAATTCTCTATCACACTTCATAGCAGGTTTCTAACGTGTCAAAACAGTAAACTTTTGTGTGAAATAGGCTGAGACGGTTGTCAACAGGCAAAACTATTAATGGTTTGCAATAAATGAATCAAAATTCTCTGACCGGAAACGTATTCACCACGTTATCAGAGTTTTTAAGAGCTTTTCGGTATAACGTTACAGAGCTGATTATCAATGTTTTACATAGATCTAATCGAAAATATCACTACATGATATGTACACTTTAGGCACCTGGAGAACTACATTTCTGCACAGCTGAAATTTTTCTATCAAGTTCCTGAAGCCTGGCGATGTTCAACCATCATAGGTATGACGAAGTTTCGATGTCGTTCGATTAGTAGTTTCCTTTACCAACGATCAAACTGGGATGATAGAAGTCCCTTACATCAATAATACTACTCAACGACTCTCAAGCTTAATCTATACCAGTCCAATGATCAGGCTATACTGCTTCTAAAAACCATAAATACTTTCACTGGAAGTTTCTGTACTATCTGCCAGATTATAGAGACGTAGTGGGCTAAACGTATATCCATGTTGAAGAGAATAGTGACGTAGAGTCTGCTTTATACATTCAACTACATTAAATACCAATACAGCAAATTACTGATACGCATATATGACTGTTAACTTTGCAGTAAAACTTTCTAGGGTAACAGCCAGTCCCAAGTCCGGATGAAGGGAGGTCTGGCATAACGTTAGCCATTTATTCTTGAATACGATCACAATTCATTAACCCATAGACAAACATTCTAATTTTGCAGGCCGTGTACTATTAAGGAATCCCGATCTAGGACCGTCAACGTGTAACCTATTTCATGAAGTTGTGTAAACACATGTCGTCACTTACCTTAGAATTCTTTAGCTAGGATTGTTAGATTATTCTATCGCGTTTGCTTTTCCAAAAGCACGTTTTATGTAATGCCTTGTGAAGCAACCAATCATCCGCACCTTACTGTATTTTTCTTTAAAGTTCCTTATATCAGTAATGAGTTTGGAACTATAGTCTACAAGGCAACAAAAAGATTCCAGAAAATGTATTTCTATAGCTTCTCTGTTTGCGTGAAGAAAAGGAGCTGTTAGGGAAGCAGAATCACCAGATGTTTTGTACCGTATACCTACTAGATAAGAAGCACAAGTACCTTTCACACTTCACTTTAAAACAACCTGAGACCTGATCTACGAAACATGACTTCCAGGGTTCTGAGGGAAGAGCATGATCACACCATTCAACACGTCAAGTCTTTCATCATGAAACGCTCGTCAAATCAAGGTTCGCTATCAATGATACCATTGGCAGGCCATGATAGTCAAGGGGTTTTCTCTCGAATTATTATTTGTTACCCTCTCATATTATTTTGCATGTGATGAATTGGTCACTAACAGTTCTTCAGTAAAACATGATGTGAGGTCGTATTTTTAAAAGTACCAAGTCTTCCTTGGATGTTTTGTAAAAGTGAGGTTGAATTAACCAGTTCGAGTTATCATAGCAAAGCTTATATCATTAAAATTAGTTGCATAGAAGTTTATGTCGAGCTTTTTTCTATCCATTTGCCTAACGATCAAATATGGGGTGTGACGGAAAACCATATTTTCGTTTCAAATAATTTCATCAACCCTGTTAACTTTTGAGGCAAGGGAATTATGATGCCACGATTGCGGTTTGATTCCCGCCATATCGAGAGTCCACTGTTACATTGGATGACCTAGATGGTTGAGACGAGGCAAAATATGCTAGTCTGGAGAGTGTCGTAACACGATTAGTGCCTATGGTGATCAGGATTGATCCAACTAACAATTATTGATATAGTCTACGTCACGAGCAGGTATAGCTTTCATAAATTTGGCAAGTATTTGGTTACATAGGGAAATAAACTGAGACCTAATTAATCAATAGTTTTGTTAATGTAAGTATAAACTAATACTACTAGGAATCCATAATCTTTCATTGTTGCCGCAGGTCGGAGGACTTGGTTTAAGTAATTACTTGGAGCTACGGGCAACAAAAAATAAAGTGAACCACTCGAAACAGATATTGACAAAGAAAAACACATTTTATAACTAAAACTCAAACCTTAAAAAACGTTCTCTCCTCAAGATCGCAGTTGCTAAAACCTTTGCAAAAAACACTTCCGAAAACTTAAACTAAAGATAATTTGGTTACAGTAAAAACAGTAGTTTACGTGAACTGCAACTTATAGAAACAATATAAATCTACTCAGAAGCGATCTGCATCTGGACCTTACGTACTTTATATACTTTGAGAAAATGCAGAATAGCGTTAGTAGGAAGATTTAGAAAAGAGAGGAACAAAAAATCGAGCAGCCAATCAAGCAGTCGCAAGAAACGCACTTACGTTTATTGAGAAAAACAAAAGATAACAATATGCAACAAGGAAGCATAGACTTGTGCAGTCCTAAACTCGAAAGCAAGAGTAGATAGTTTAAACGTCTGCAAAGTCATTGGTGGACTTAGAATCTGTGTTTCAGATTGGAGTCAGTAGAGTCTGCCATCAGAAATGTAAACTAAAGAGGGTTCAGGGGTAAATATCACGAAAGTAGCGTGACTAAGTAAATTGTATGGAGATGAAACCCAATCAAGAAGAATTTTGAATTTGGTACTCGAGAATTTTAAAGAAATAGACATTATATTGAATACTTGAAGTGGGAATACCTTAACTTGTAAGCCACTACTCTATAAATAGGGTGGACTAAATTCTGTTCAACAGTGCAAAATATGAAATTCTACGAACAAGTTTGTTACATAGCCAAAATATCGGGTACTTGAATACTTGAATCTGTCCAGGGTGGCCATTTGAAGATCAAATCAAATGGAATAATGCTTTTACAAGATTAAAAATTCAAAAGCCAAATGGCGAAACGAATCTTACGATTAAGAGTTTTCGGGTGGTGAAGTCTTGAAAGCCGGTACTTCCAAAACCTTTTTAGGTAGAACGAATGATTCGTAAAACACCTTAAATGTGTGCTACGCAAACTCCCGTAGCCTTCGAAGTAAAACGACTGAGCTTAGTTTGATAGTGAATGAATTAAGTCCCAATATAATTGTTATCACATAAAATTAGCAGTTATTCTGTATAGACCATTCTTCCATCATTGCAGGATACATTTTGTTTTAGGGATCACTTTCGTACGAAACCAATCATATCAGAGGCGCGTGTTAGCGGTACATGTGTGGCAGCATATAGTACAACTAATTCTAGGCACGAGTTAGTGACGATAGGAGGAATATACCGTAATCCATGTTGTCTTGCTGACAACTTTATCTTAAGATACATCTCTTTTTGGAGTAAGACAGAATGCGGTCACATCACTAGAGACTTCGACGCACTCCACATCAATTGGACAGAGATTACAGCTCCTAAAACGCTTAGAACGCCTAAACCTTTTCCGCTTGTCGTGTCGTTGGACGCAAATGGCCTTATATTGGGATGTCGTATATATAATTACGATTTGACTGATATTATGTTTTTTCTTTTTGCTTCCCCTAGCAATAAGAATTTACTAGCTCATATCAGGAAGGTTAACGAGCTTCGATCTAATAAACTTAAATTGAGGTTCAGTTTTTCTCATCAAGTGCTCAATGAATGGAACTCCTTGCCTGGAGTGGTATCAGCTCCGTCAGGGAACATTCTCAAGGGGAAGTAGAACCCTGGCAGGAAAGCAAACTGTTAGGATTACCACAGGTCCATGAACTTACCAAATTCATTACTGAAGACTGTACTTTTAAATATCACATAATTCTGCTCCGTAAGCATTATTCCAAGTTGTTCAATGATATGCAAAAAAGAAAGACATATTCGTATCAAAAAGCATGAGTTGTAATATTAGAATAGTAGCTCAAGAAAAAACTCACTTTCTTGGTTCTACATAAAATTTACTTTGACACAAACTATCGATAATGCGAACAATCCATTCTAAGCGCAAAGTTTGAAGTTTTGAAAGTTGGTGGGTTTCATTTTTGCTCTCTTAGGTTTGCTTCCGTGCAATCGAAGATAATATCTTCAATGTCTTCTTCACCACTGAATACTGAGACATATAGCAATAAGATGCACTTTTAGTCTTTCAAAATTTTTAGTTGTTTGTTGACTGTCTCCAAATATTTCGGAGTGTTAAAGGTAAGAGATGTGGTCCAAAAAGAATAAACAAAATAAAAGAATCAAAATGCGGGATTAGAACATGTATTGTGTTCTGGATTATGTCGCTTTTTGACCCCCAGGTTCCTACTTAATATTGATTGTATCCTATATTTTGGCTATGTAACAAACTTGTTGGTAGAATTTCATATATTGCACTGTTGAACAGAAATCAGTCCACCTTATTTATAGAGTAGTGGCCTACGAGTTAAGGCATCCTCACTCCAACTAGTTCTGAATCCCGCTCCATAAGTTTTGATTACCCACTTTAAGAACCTCACCTTCTATGTGCTTGAAGAATGTCCCACGAAGTTTCTCCCTGAATTATTGCTATTGAGGGTATGTATTTTTGATAGTCACGGCACGGTTACTTTGAATGATAGTTTTCCACAAACTTTAGCGTGACCAGATGTCCAAATAATGTTGCGGGTACACGCAGCACGTGTTGTTTCATGGACTAGCCGCTAAAAGTCCTTGAGACTGAGTAAATGTCTCGAAATCGTTTGCAATGGCTTAGGAGCATTCACTCGTCTTGCTGTTGATTAAAAGTTTATATACTGGTAATCTACTCACTTTCCTAGTTTACATTTTCTCGAGTCCTATGTTCAGTTCTTAATTTTTGTCACTATTACTACCTTAACTACTCTGGTGTTCTTGATAATTTCATCTTGCTGTGCTAATAGGGTGAAAGAAACTTAGTTGACGTATATGCGTACCAGGTTCTACGTTGCGTTTGACGGACTGGTTAAACTTTTTCGGACTCTGAACTCCAATGTGTCGTCAAATCATTTTTGGGATTTTTTAAAAGTTTCTAAGGACTGTTAACTGCTGTCCCATCTGGTGTGCATACTTTCACTAAGTTCAAGTGTCTTAGTCTCCCAAATAAATTTTCAGTTTTCTGCTTATAAAATCTACTTCCTAGTAATAAAATAGTTCATCCGTTAAGTCTCCATACGTGTACTTAGTTTTAAGGCACGTTTATTTGTTCGCGAATCTACTCGGTTACCCAGGCCAAAGTTGAATGCACACTACCTTTCGTCATCTGTGAAGATGCACCAGCTGATTATGAGGTTTTAAGAATCCCATAGAAATTCAGTTTGCAAGTTGTGTTCTCATGCAACTATACTTGTCATTTATGGCATAATACATGCCACCAGTACTTAGTATTTTAAGAAAGAGTTAACTGGGAGTTGTCTTTGCGTTACGTCCAACTAGTCTGTCGGTGCTGACCTTTTTAGAAGGGCGATCTTTTTGATCAAATAATCCTGAACATGGATAGCGGACCTGCGACTATTGTCCTTGCATAGACCCAATCATTTGTAAGCAACGTAAAGCGCAGTGTTGTACACATCCAGAATATAATGGGGTTGACTGTTACATAAGGTTGAACTTATTTTATGTTGATCATGAGTCTTTTTTATCCCAGTTTTGTTGAGCTATAGTAAATCTGCTTGATCCAATTAGTTGGCCTTCTAGGATGTTAGGATGATGCCTCGACAAACTGCGTTGACATCATTACCGATTTCATACAATACTGACAAGTGAGTCACGAGTATGTGTTCCCAAGTAAATGAAGTTTCTATCCTAAGTTCTTTTAGGTACACATAGAAACTCTCTATGATCACTTTACTGCAAACCATTCTGGAAATAGCTTTGATAAAAAAGGTAGTGTGAATCTGTCACCTAGAAACTTTCCATTCTTCATTATGCAGATATTTGTATTACAGTCTGGTATACAAACTGTGCGGTTATTCAGTTGACAATGTCCGTAGGTATGGCATGTACTCTTTGGATCTTCTAAACGCAAGTGCCTTCACAAGTTTGGCAGGATCCTGTCCCGACACCTCTCATTGTCAATCATCATTCCAAAAGCACGTGTATTCTGATAGTTGGATGCTTGATGATGGCATAGTAAATGAGATAGATCTATGTATGGTGAAAGAGTTTCTGTCAACCTGTGCCATTTTAAAGCTATTTGTGACTTTTCTAGCTATAAGAGGTCGAGTTTCCGTCTGGATAAGCGTAGTCTTACTCAATGTTTATGAAACAGCCGCTCTAAGTTAAAGATGTTAAACAACTAGCTGTAATCTGTCATCGTCTCGGGTGGATTGATAACATTTAGTGGCAATATCATATTAGTTGTACGGAGTTTTGGCAGTGTATGTTCAGGCGTAGTAAAGATAATCCATTTAGTGTCATTCTGAAACCTTGGGACTGGTTGCAATAAGCGGAGAGTAGTCAGATTATGATATGGCCCTGGAGTATGGTAGAAAATTATTTAGGATCGATATATGTCGGTTCATCACAACCCCTTGGTTTTGGCCCTAGGGATGGTACAACTCAGTGGCCCAAAATATTATCAGATATAGCTCAATAAAATTCCAACTTCACATTCTTCGTAAAGAAGAACTTCCATACATGAAAGGGTTTTTCCTGGATGTAATTTCTTTGTCTCACTTATCGCCTATTATAATTTATTCTGGTCCACTTATTTCCATTTATTTATTTGATTACACTCATGCTTTCTCCATCCCTTCACATTTTCTATTTTATGTGGCACTTTTTCTGATTCTCATTGCTACAAATATTTGTTTCGATAAGTAAATAAGTCAACCGTTAATATTTTATAGCAGTTTTATTGTAGTTGCGTTTAACTAAAGATATAAAACAAATGTTTTCTTAATGTTAATGATCGATCTTTAGTTTTCATATGATTTTGGTTTGATAAACTTCAATCCAAACCCTCTGTAGTCCCGTTTAAATTACAAGTTATATGCATGATGTCCAACCCTACATAATATTGTTCTCATCATGAACTGTTCATCATTATTGGATTTTAATTCCTAAAATATTTTAAAATAACGTTCCTTTGTTTCAGTTTTTGTATTTTGGTGGACAATCAGTCATTGATTCATGGCTGAAGTCGGACAAGAATTACATCTTACAGGTAATTGCTCAGGTACATACTGGTTTCCATTCGTGTCACTAGTTTTTTCATTTATATAAGGTCTTACTGTCGTCACTCGTTCAGATATTTTTTTGCATCATATGAAATTGTTTATAACAACATCAGGTTCAGATATATGCAGAATAGACTACAATTATTCTGTTTACTGCATTTAATTACTTTAGTAAAATCTTGGGTTCCATCGCTAGCTATCATCCATCTCTGCTTAGAATCATGATAGTTGTTAATGATGTGAGGCATGAGATGCATTCAGTGTCAGATCAGAAGTAATATTATTTTAAAGAACAACATTGTTGGTGGAATACACTGTAATAAGTATGTCTTGTAAGCACAGAGTTTTCATTCTTGAGTACTGCATGATAAACAAAATGTTAGTGTAACTGCTAACTTACGTGCTTTTTGGAATCGCTGCTTTCAGAGTGGAGTAAGGCTGGTTTCCCTTGTGTTCAATCAATTATTGATTAAGTCGAAGAAAGACACTGACGAGCAGTAATTCATCTTTAGTTATATTCATTTTACTTAAAGTATTGTCAAAATTGGTTCCGAAATGGATCCTCTTAGTATCATAAATTGTTATTACTCATATCCCAAGTGTCGTCTTGTTTTCTTGTAGTTTTTAGTCACTTTTCTATTCAAGCGCTAGTATTTTCTCACCCTTATCAACTATATGTTTTTCCTTATTTTCCAGTCAAACCATCTACACCAACAAGTGGGAAACGAAAATCTTCTAGTCGGTTGAGTTTGTTTCATTCAACTGCTAGGAAATCACGAGCATCTGCTGGTGATTTAAATGTACCCACCCCTAATAATGCTTTGACCTCGCTAACTGATGGATCTTCTTCAGGTATTGATTTCTTGTTTCGAATTGACTTCTACTAGGATGTAAGATGGCGTTACGTAGCTGACTTGTTCAGGTGTCTATCTTGACGGTATGAAATAGATGAATTGAGTTTTTTGGTTACTTCCTCTACTGCGGAAGTCTAATTATACGTGATTAGATCTATGAGTAGTAAAACCTTGTCATAAATCCAAAGTAAATATTTGCCTCCTTATGGGCTTCCATATTGTTTACGTTTAATTCTGAGAAATGTGCTGAACTGACCCGGCTTATCACTGCTCTATTTCATTGTAATTGATCCGTTACTCTGTGCTTTTAGTTAGGTGAATGTATATCGTGTAAACAACCATGTATTTAATAATAAAAATGGTCTTGAGCAAACATAGGCTGTTCAGTAAGAGGTCTAGCGGTATTTTTATTTAATTAACAACAACTAGGCTCATCATTATCTTCCTTTTATTTAAAAGTAACACCGGAAAGTGGAGGATTCTTCCACTTTGGTGAAGACGCTGACAAAATGCAGAATGTTCTGGTAGCACTAAGCAAAAATGCCAGAATGTTTGGAATGCGCTTCTCTCCCTCTAAATGCAAGTTGTTGCTTCAGGACTGGTCTACGTCAACACCTGAACTAAGGATAGGGAGTGAAGTAGTCGAACGCGTTGACAACTTCACTTATCTTGGAAGTCTGATCATCCCTAATGGGATGGTACCGGACGAAATCTCAGCACGGATTCGAAAAGCTCGTTTGGCTTTCGCCAACTTACGACACCTTTGGCGAAGGCGAGATATCCGTCTATCAATAAACGGACGAGTATACTGCGCGGCAGTCCGTTCTGTCTTACTTTACAGCAGCGAAACATGGCCTTTAAGAGTAGAAGACACCCGTAAGCTACTAGTATTTGACCACAGATGCCTTAGAAATATTGCTGGCGCCTGTTGGGATCACCGGGTAAGTAATAGTGAGGTTCGACGCAGGGTATTAATTAATGATGGTAAATCAGTTGATGAGGTTGTTAATCTTCATCGACTGAGATGGTTGGGCCACGTGTTACGTATGCCTGAACACTGAATACCATGTCGTGCAATGCTAACGGGTGTTAGAGATGGTTGGAAGAGAATTAGGGGCGGCCAAACCAAAACGTGGCATCAGTGCTTGAAGACACTAACCTCTAGTCTGAGCCATGTTGATAGATGCAGACTACTTGGTTGGGGTCCGCGTGACTTTCGTAACCGATGGTTGGAGACTCTTGGTGACGGCTCAGAATCGATCACAATGGCGTCGGTGTATACACACCCTATCTTTCCTTAGACTAAGAGATTAAAATCACTTCATATCTTTCTTTCTACTAACTAATTCTTTCTTCCTATACTATATCCTTATTGCAATCTTTCTCCTATATGTTAACACCTTTGACTTAACCACTCCTATGAATCCGGTAATCATCTTGCTGTGCTAATGAGGTATGTCAACCTGAACCGATGCACATATGTGCCTGGTCCTACGTTGTAGCTGACTGACTGACTGGAAGATTCTTCTAATAAGATCTGTCAGTGCTCTGCAGTGTAAGTTATTTTCACAATATTTCACACTCTATAACTTGATACAAACAATTTTATAACTGGTTTACAGTCTAGCTCAACTCTATTGAGTGAATTGGAACAATAAATATGTACAAATTTGAGTACTTAACCAGAATGTGAGCTGTTGTCAAAAGTTTCTCAACTGTTAGATGGTTATCCATACTCAGATTGGTGGACAAATTAGCCTGATTCGTGTACATTATTATTGTTAGAGTGAATAGAGTGACTTTGTTGATTTCTTGTCTTTGTGAATCATTTACCGGTCATCCCGTTCACTTACATTCTGGTTGTTACGATCATTTGTTGACTTTTGCATCCTTCGATCACTTTATAAGAGTTACTATGATGTCGTTTTTCTGTATACTTTTTTCTTTCAGACTTACACGACACACCGATGCGTGCCAAACTCGAAAAAAGGCAGCATCGTATTTTCGAATTTTTTGTGACAGAACGAAACTATGTTGAGATTCTACGTTATTTGTGCTTGAGCGCTTATCCAGTTAGTGTTAATTGTCTTATGTTTTCTAAATTTAGTTTTAAAATTTTAATTTTTGTCTGTACATATTTCATTTTCATTGCTTTCTTTTGCTGCGTGTAGCAAGTTATCGACGAAAATCAACCAGGTGGACCTGTTTTGCCGCGGCAGGAAGCTGATTTCGTGTTTGGCAAGCTTGGTGCTATTTATGAACTACATGATCGTTTACAACCTCAGTTTAATGAGCTGGAAAATAATTGGTCGTTATCTGAAAGTTGTCTTGGGAATGTACTTCAGCTTAGTTTATTGACTGAAATGGATAGAGTAAGTATTTAATAAGATTATTACTATTGCCCATCGTTGTCATAAAATTTTTGACTGCTTTTGTTCAGTGTTGGAATATATTGATATTTCTATCTTGACCATGGTTAGTAGATTTATAAAAGAGAGTAACTTATCAAAAGAAAAGATATAAAACTTAGTGCGTTATTCTATCAAGTCAGATCGCTACACCTCGACAAGTTACAACAAGGGGTGATCATTATAACGACCACATATTAGTGTAAGGTAGTTTAGTAATAATAATAATAATGGGGGACGGACGGAAAGGTACAACTAGAAGAAATCTTCCAGTTAAGGAAGATGAAACCACTTTTTATGAAGAAAGTAAGAGAAGGTTACAGCAGGATCGCCATTGGCATCTATTCTGATCCATATCTGATAACGTCTCTAGCCAACGTGTTGCATCATCTCTCGGACCCCTACCAGGGAGTCGTGAAGGACCAACAGAAGCCAGTCCTGTATAGCTTTCTTTTATACCACGACACCATGTCATATACTGACCACCTCTCCACTTTTTCCAACTAGTCCCAGCCGGACCTGGACCGATGCATATATGTGCCTGGTACTACGTTGTAGCTGACTGACTGACTGACCAGTCCCAGCGTCGACAAATAATGCACGACGTGGAATTCTCTGGGACGGCATTCGTATAACACAAGTATGCTAATACCAACCCTCTGATTAAGCGTGATACAGTTGAAAGAAAACCTGCTTCCTATCCTTGCGCTCCAAAGGAGATGAAGTCGCCGTAATTATCAATCACAGAATTAATACCGCTTTGAAAGTAGCCTACCCGGCAGCCAAACTGACGACTTTATGGAAAACAAACTGCTCACTGAAACAAACGAAGATCGACAAGTCCTCTCCCCTCAGTTGCTCCAACTGCATTTACAGTTCACATGTACCTGCCATAGCACATACATTGGAAGAACTGAGAGAAGAGTACTGGTTCGTATTTCTGAGCATATTCCAAAGAACTTGACGCTGCGAGGGACTAAAGCTTTTAACAGTGCAATAGCTCGGCATCTACTTGACACCGGGTATACCGTCGATATTATGCACGCGTTTAAAATTATCAATAGACAAAAAAGTACTACCACTCTCCGCTTTGCTGAAACCATTGCGATTAAGAAACTTAAACCGGACTTATGTATTCAAAGAGACTTTAATAAACTTATCACTACCCTGGTAATCTTTTTGTTTCTGTTTGTTTTGTGTTTTGGTTATTTTATTTATTTACTTATTTTAAGATATTTTATGCCTCCCCTATCACCTAATTCTTAAACAAAACACAATTGTATAAACGAAGAATATTCTTTTCAATAATTTCTCATCAGGTTCTACAATTATAAATCCAGATTAATAATCCATAAAATTGGCCAGATTTAAGGCAAAATACATCATTTGGAAATTGTAATATGTGAATCAGGAATTGTTTGTTATATAAAATAAAATCGTTAATGTTGGGATGACTAATATGAAGTGTTAACTTGAATCAGTTTATAAGCGAAATGAAATTGTGAAATTGTGAATCCTACAGACGGCTGAAGTAATTGCTATTCGGATCAAAAAGCCAAAACTTTGTATCCAAAAGAAGTATGTTCAGCCACTCCTTTTACCCTGGTCAACTAGCTAATAATCAATCTTATAATGTGGTGACGTAATCTAATTAATGTTCATTTTATGTCTCAAACTTATTATTGTTATTACTGTTATTGTCTTTACACTTGATACCCTCTTTTTGAGGAATTTGTTCAATATCCACCCCTGAATCTACTATATTTGACCTAGTTATTTCACATATTACGTAATTTCCGATTTGTAATCACAATACTCTCTCTTACGCCATGTTGACCATATTTATTTTGATAATTTATCTCACAAATCCTGATTCACATATTACAATTTCCAAATGATATATTTTGCCTTAGATTTGGCCAATTTTATGGATTATTAATCTTGATTTATAATTGTAGAACCTGATGAGAAATTATTGAAAAGAATATTCTTCGTTCATACAATTGTGTTTTTAATATAATGGGAATTTTTCAGCAATTAAAATCTTAAAGAAAATTTTATTCACACATTTCCACCACCTGATCCTCTTAACTTATCTTCTCAAATTCTATTTAATTATTATTACGTAATCTACCGTATCATTATTTAATTCCATTAATCTCTACAATTATCACAATTTATGAACTTCACTAAATTATTACACCACCCAACCTGGATTAACCCCCTTTATTTGACCTCTGACCTGTTTCTAGCATATATATAGTTATTATTGTCATCCAGTGATTTAAACTCATGTCGATTGTAAATGTAAAAAATTCAATTACAATTTTGGTTTGTAAGCAGCAGACGAGAAACCTCGAAATAATATGAATTCAGTCTTGTACACAACCACGCCAGTGGTAGATGATCGCGATGTGATCAATCTGAGTCCAGGCTTAAAATGTAGAAAGAGGACGCCAGGTGGCACATCGGCGATGACTTTTGAAAGTTAGTGCTAGACAGAAGCAGGTTATTGTCTGGTCTCAGGGGCAGTAGACGGTTCTCGTCATTTGAACTGCGACCAACAAGTCCCCACCGGCCACCTAAACGATGCTCTTCTGTTCATAGGGGCCCGACCTGAGCATTCATGTCTCCGGCTTGTACTACAATATCTATCGAACGCACTTTCCGAAGAAGAACAGTTAACTGGTGGTAGATTTCATCCGGGCAGCAATCTGTCGGGGCATAGGCGGAGATAACGAAACGACATCGCTTCTCACGCCGGTTTCTTCTCACTTTCATGGGGCTTTTTAATCTAACGCCACATAAGCGATTGTTATTGAGGATCCAATCGATTAGTGCTGCCTCAGCTCTAGCGCTTAGTGCGACCTTTAACGCTGGCAAGACCAGATGAAGATGCCACATGGTCCCTGGGTAAACGCACTTAAAACAAGCTTTTTGAAGCGACAGACGGAGGGCGAATTTATAGTACTTCACTAGAGTCTTGAATACGGGTCGCGGATAAACAGAAAACATCGATATTAAGACTTTCTAAAGACATAGCCAGCCCTATCTGTTGTCCGACTTGCATAATTGTGCGAATGTTGAAGGCAGCCAGTTTGAATGGTGCATGTGGTTTCAGAAAAACTGCTTCAGTATTCGTATTTGGTTGTAGCACTCAATCTTCAACCAGTCAGTGACTCGAGAACGCTTGGATAGAACCGAGTTTCCACCATAGACGAGCTGCTGTATGAGTCGAAAAATAAGGATACATAAAGTGGGAATAAAAGATAATGAATAAATGACTTAGTGAATAATAATAATAATAATAATAATATGAATCGTTTGACTGTTGGCGAAGCAAGAACAGTATTTTCCTTAAGTATCGTCATTTCATTCTGTTTGTGTGTGGGCTGTGATACTGCTCGTGTGCCCAGATCGAAGCATGTGGCTTCCTTAGGGGGCCGGGGACCATACCACGTTGAAAACACCGGTGATCAATAAAAGCGTGGAAAATCGAGAAAATGTGTGGGTAGAAGTCAGAACAAAAATCTTAGTAAATAAGTGTGCGTTGAACAATAAAATACGTAAAATTCAAATCGAGTAAAGTGATTTGTTCTGTCTTCATGGTATTACTTCTAATGTTTATCAAACCCAACTGAAAAAATATCAGACATCACTGGCATATTAAGAGGTGTTTTTTTCAAGAAACAGTTATTGTTGATAAGAAACATATAAACGAAACTAGTGGGAATAGTGATCAACAATGTTTGATAGTCACTTTTACTGATTACTATGTTTTCTGAATGAAATTCTGATGGTTGATTGATAAGTGGTCCTCGTAATACCACTGGAATCATTTTGTTATTAGGCATAACTTTTTCCTACTGTCAATTTTAGGCATATGGGAATTATATGCAATTTTACAGTCCACCACATTTACACCACCTTGGTGAACAATTTCCCCGTTTTCATGCGTTCATGCGTCAAGTTGAAAAAAGGAAAGAATCTGGTCGTCAAAGTTTGACAGCTTTACTAGTTCGTCCAGTCCAACGACTTCCTTCGATCTCACTTTTAATGGATGGTTAGTTTTTCTTTGACTATTACCATGTATCAGATTTTTACTTATATGTCGATTATTTTCTAAGTTTGTAGGTTAACATCTAAGTTATTATAATTAGGCTATCGAATCGGATCGATTTATACTTTCTACCTGTTTACTTACGAGGTATCCTATGTTACATGGAGTTTAATATAATAGGCTTCATTGGTTGTGCATCGATTTTGCTTTGTTTTAAGCCGTCCGTCGTTATGTACTCCCTTTTACTTGTATCTTTGTTGTCAACAACGTTATTTAAAAATGAATGGAGTAAAGAACTATCCACTCCTTAAGGGATATTTTTCACTGATTATTAGATACTTATCATCGGTTGCTCACTGGATTTCATCAAATTTTTCGCTTAGTATTTCCACGTTGACATCGTTAAGGATGAAATGTATACTAATCATTTCCATATAACCTAGATTACAACCATTATTATTCATTATTATTACACAGGCATTGCCAAATTCACACCTCAATCACATCCAGATTACAACGCAGTTAAAGAGTTTGCTAAAGGAATTAACGAGCTATTGGCTAAAATAAATGATCGGTTAAGGAAAAATGAAGAACGTCTGTCTTTATTATCTTTATATCATGAAATTAGTGGTGCCCCGGTAAGTTCTTTTCTCTAGAACATTCCAAAATGTTTTATTTACCGTAAATATGCCACGTAATTTCCTTCGAATCGATAATTTTGATTTCAGCCTGAGATGTTATCTTCCTCTCGAAGTCTAGTGGCAAAACTTAACGTTTTTGAATTAGGAGTAAGCGCTTCTGGAAATACAACTTGCGAACCTGTGACACTTTTCTTACTATCCGATAGTTTGGAAGTAGCTCGTCCTCGTAAACGATTTACTGGTGAACCTCTTGCACACGCTATTCGAGCCGCGTTAGCTGCAGTACAAGGTAAGTCCTGCCTATCATGTTTTTAATCTAAAATGGTTTTTTAAAATTTAAACTTTATAATTCAAGTTAGTCTCTGTTCTGGATTTACTTAGTGATTTAAGGTACTAGTTACCAGAAATTGTTTATAATTTCGTTATTTTTCAATGTTAATCTGTTTACTAGGCATGTCAGTTAATCACATTTTACTGTATTAAATATCTAATTATACTCACATGGGTCAAGTATGGGCATTCGCTAAGTGGTCTTAGTAGCATAGTGATAACATCGATCCTCAAAATGATATGTGAAACAATGTATTTGGTAGATGCTTTACATTATCATTCGCTTCACACTGGATTTAGTCTCAAATTTTCGGCGGTATGCTTTTGAAACAACCTCTATTCACATATCTGATCAGGGAATTTAACCCTTATATATGTTGACTGATACTGAGGAGTACAGAGCTGAAACTTGGAGAACTTTTACAATCATGAAAAAGCACAAGTATTTATAAACAGCTGTTTGTGCAAGATACTCCAGGTCAATTAGTCAGATATAAAAAATAACCGACTATGCCAAGGAACAAACCAGTTTCCTGCTGAGAAAATTAGGGCAAGACGCTGTAGGTGGATAAGGACATACTACAGAAATCAAACTGTATCACAAGGCAAACCCTAACTTGGCATTTTCATGGCTATAAGAAGAGAGTCAGACCTAAGAACGCATTGGGTCGGGAATCGGAGGTAGACATTAAAATAATGGATAGGACTTGGAAAAAAAGTGGAGCGGAAAGTCCAGAAAAAAGTTGGTTGGATTCCTCTAGTCAGTGGCCCATGCTCCTCAAAGATTAACAAGTGTAGGTTCGCACACGAGACCTACGGTCTCGATCTGGCTCCCAGTTTCTTGGTCGTATATGTGCGCCGCTGGAAGTTCCTATACTATTTCAAAACGGCCGTCCAATGCTTTCATGTTTCCAATTGTTGCTTAACATGAATCAGTTGATGATGTTAATCTAATTCAATAATCTCCACAATTCTGTACTGACAATTATTGTTTTATTCAATTGTTTTGTAAAAAAGTTCAATTCTTATTTGTGGTCGTGAAACACTTGGTAACTCCATCAAACTAACCGCATATCAGGGTACACTATCTTTTTTAAATGTATAGATATAATAATAGTGTGTGGGTATTAATTTGGTCACTTATGTCCATATTTCTACAGGTGAAGGGTCTGAACACAACTTCGACGGTAATCATGATCAAACTTCAATTAACAATGGCGATTTTTCATCAAATCCGTCAACAAATACTGCTTTAAGTGGAGTTTCTGTTTCTCGGACTGGTTCAGGTGCATCCGGGACAAGTGTGGTGAACCTTGGTCTTATGGAAGGCAAACAAAGGTGTTGTTACAAGCATTTACAGTTGCTGAAATTACAGGAGATAAAACAAGTATGTTCTACTTTTTATTTAATCCATTTGCTTTTTTTGTAATCGGTTATTATTATCCTAGTTCTGAAAATCTAAATTAGGATAAGTTGGAATTCCTAGCATCTTTTGTTCTGTAATGAGTCGTACTACTTAGTTTATCCCTTAGTATTTGTCGTTTATTACCACATATTTCCCCACCATTTTATGGATTTTGGGTCATCGCTCAGTTTATCAAGGTTGCTTAATTTATTATTAATATATCTTTCTGTCGTCTATTCTTCTAGTGTTGTCATAAGTTTTGATGGACGAGATATAAACATATCACTAAACCTTTCAAAATTTAAGGTAATCTTATCTTTATTTGTAGGTGGTCAATTTTGATACTGCCTCTCCAGACCGAGCTGCTTTCGGTTTAGTGGTACGTTCCAGTTCCGAGGTTGATGATCGTGTTCATGCTTATTGCTTGGCTGCCAGTTTTGCAGCCTCAGCGGCAGTTGTCAGCGGGAAGTGCCCAGAACCTGTTGAATCAGCAGTTGCAGCGGCCACAGCATCCGGACAGATTTCCAATGCAGTCAGTGTAGATACTTCACCATCAAATATAACTACTAATTCAAACAATTCACATGTAGCAATGTTACAGGCGTGTGTTGGTGAAGCCAAACGTGTTTTTCTTCACAGATTATGCCATCATATTTGTCTTGTTTCATGTATAGCAAAGAATCCAGAAGAAATACTAGTAGATGTCGAACCGGAAGAATTACTCGGTTTTGACTTAGAACAAGTTTTTAACGCAACTGCTTTGGCTTTATCTTCTAAAAGGTAACTGTACTACTACATCAATGTGTGTTTGTCACTAAAATGTACAGATTTTGTTTTTAATTATCATGCAGTAAGTTTAAGAAGCAGAAATGACCTATAATATTGTACCTGTCAGTTGCTGTCTGATCGTTAAAGCACTTTGTTCTCAATATGTCTCAGTTCGTAACCCTGCTTCACTTAGTTTGGTTTGGACAGCCAGGCAGCTTCACCACCCCTTATACAGTTCACCCTAATAAAGCGCATATAAATAAAAATGAGCATTAAAGGAGAATAGCATTTTTAATTATGTGAATACTGTTCGATTTACCCTGTGTTGTCGAAGACGTTCTATAACGAACAGGTTGTTTGGGGAGTGACATAGAGGTTCTGCCCAACCTGTTGGTGCCGCTCATCCAGGTATATAGAAATGTATTGATGCTCTGAAAAAGGGAAAAAGTCTAAATGAATTGAACAGTTTGTTGCAGGAATCCTGCAACGGCACTTATAAATAATGTGTAAGGTGGTAGCAGTACGTATCAAATTGGTCATAGAATATTATGGAAACAGATCGACATTACACTGTATATATATGGAATAGCGCATAATTTGAACATACAGATCTAAAAATTTTAACTATGTTACTAAAATTTCGTAATGCATGTAACATTTACATCTATATTAAGTTAATGTTATCCCTTTTAATGCTATCTTTGAATGTATTATATGAAGTCGGTTAGTAATAAATTGGCCTTTTATGGTGATGAGTTACCAACGTGTCGGGTAGTCGGGGTCCGAATCTCAAGTTTCTATGTCGTTCACTTATACCGATCACCCCTCTTGGTCTGTCGAAAAGTATAAAGAGTAATATACAACTTCAAGGATCGATATGAGTTTGGGTAACGATCATTAATTAAAAGAAAAATAATATGATAAAATCAAAAGTTATCTACTTAAAGGATACGAATATGATGAAGAATATATAAAAAAACAGGAAGGTGGTGATAACAAATGACTAGAAACTGAATATATGATAACGTATCGATAACCGATTGACTGTGAAAAATTAGGCATTATAGTTGTGATATGATAAACTGCTACTGCATCTGTAGTGAAATCATTTTTACAGTATTGCTGTAATTTAGTCAGATTTTTAATTTAAGATAATTTTTTTTAAAAAGAACTAAAAACGTTTTTCTTTGTCATACGTGAATCTGAGTATGGTTTCAACTGAAGTGAAGATTATGTACTCGACAGTCCTATATTAATAATAATTGCACAAGGCCAATCTGTCCATTTAATTAATGTTAAATGAACTCTAGTCATTTGACTTTTATTATCACGGACGTCAATAATCTACAAAATAGAAGTTCATTAGGTTTCGTTGGAGAGAGCACAAAGGATAATGTTTTCAGAAATACATGTGGTGAAGAATACCGAGGATAGCTTTTTAATTTCAAAAGTAAGGCATGTTTTTGGCACTTAGGACTTCAAAGTAAGATTTACCAAGCATTTTCTAAACATTTCTCTAAACAGACTATCCCCCAGTTTTTTTAAGTAGACGTACGCGATAACATGACTACGGTAGTAGGAACATCAATTTGTTACCAAATTTGAAGAATTACAACATTTGTTGAAAGTAGACTCTTTATGAGATGTTTAGAAGTCTACTTTTTTTATTTGTCGTAGGTTTAAGGGACAGAGCTAAACGAACAGATTTCACACCACTAAAAATGTTATCCCCTCTTTTTATGCCCACCTTTATTTATATACGCCTTTTTGATGGTCGCCCCTTTTTAACCGCGGTATTTTGAGTGGATACCGTCTTACACAGATCGTGTGACTCAAAACCGAATACTTAAATCCTTCAGTCAGTCAGTCATCTGCAACACAGAACCAGGCATAAATATGCACCGGTCCAGGTTGCCATACCCCATTAGCACAAGATGAACGCAGCAAAAAAGATTCCATATAAGGATATGATACAAGTAGAAAGAATTGGTTCGTAGAAAGAAAGGTGTAAAGTAATTTTAATCTCACGGTTTAAGGAAATACAAAGAGTTTATATACTTTCGCGATTGTAATCGGCTCGGAGCCTTGTCACCCAAAGTCTCCAACCATCGGTTACTATAGTCACATGGACCCCAACCAAGTAGTTTACATCTACCAACATGGATCAAACTAGAAGTGACTTCAAGGACTGATGCCACGTTCTCGGTTTGGCCACCCTTAACTTCCAACCGTCTCCAACACTAGTCAGCATTACGCATCGTGGTAATCAGTGTTCAGGCATACGTAACATGTGGCCCAACCATCTCTGTCGATGAAGATTCACAACTTCATCAACTGATTCACCATCATTCCCTAATACCCTGCGTCTAGCCTCACTATTACTTATACGGTCATCGCAGCAGATGTTGGCAATATTTCTAAGACATCTATGCTCAATTACTGGTAACTTACGAGTATTTTCTACTCTTAATCGCCACGTCTCGCAGCCGTAAAGTAGAACAGAACGAACTGCTGTGCAGTATACTCGTCCTTTAATTGGTAGTTGGATATCTCACCTTCACTGTTCATGATCGTTCCGTAGACTTTTGGCTAACGTATATCTGGTTTGTTTTCGCTCTCCATCATTTTCAGAACCTGATAGGATACGTTTACAAAAGTATCAGGGCGATAAATTTCGCAGAAATCCACTGGTTTTCAGTAGCCTTTAGGTTCAGCACACTATTAGATATCTCTGCTATTTCCACATCTGTTCATATATCTTTCCAATAAATATCTGGGTCAGTCTCGTCTTCAGAACTCCCAAGTGTGACTTCAGTTGTTCCTGAGATTTACCTTTGACTTTCTCGACTCTGAGTTCAACTCTGATGGGTCTTCTTAATTAATAAGTCTCGTTTTACCTGTTTTAGTTGTGTAGAGAGGTTAATAAGATTTCTGGATATATATGTAATAAATGCTGTATCGACTTGAGGTGAAAAAGGCTGTTGTGAATTTTTTCAAAGAAATTATTTATACCGAAGATGGTTTTGCCTTAACTACCAAACAACATTCATAATTCGTCTATGGTTCAATATATCTTCGAACATCACATATGAAGAAGTCATGTGAAAACTGCGTTTCCCAATCATAAATCGATAGTTATGGGGCTGTGAAATCTCCACTTTCGATCGTAAGTTCGAATATCACAGCCTATCCCAGTTCGGATAGCCGAGTTTTATTTGTATTTTCCATAGAATTCATTTTGGTGCATAACATATCATAGGAATATCTACTTAGGTTCGGAGTTGCGTCGGGACTATTGAATAATTGTTATTCCAGCTGTTATTGCGATTGCCATTGTTCCTAGTCCTAAAACCAATGAACAGTAAATCCAAAGTCCTTTAAAAATGTCAAGAGAACATAGCTTAACAATAATAATAATAATCGGATCTTCCTATATCTGTAATTTTTTGTCCATACGTTCTTTAGTTAAAATATGACGGGTTGGTTATTTGAGTTTAAAATTCTTGATTCTTAGCTAAACCGGTCGCAGCTACTTGTACTAGATTGTTGTTGACCATGTTTCAAAAATAGGCAAAGTCAACTAAAGAGCTTCGTGACCACTTCTATTTAAAAATATGCTCATTATTTGTCTCTGTATTTTTTTGTTTTATTCAATAGTGGGAACTTGTTTCTGTTTATATAAGGAATAAGATTCACAACCACGTTTTATGACGAAATCATTTTATGGAAATGTATCACCGTTATTGATGTGACACTTTTTTGTATTTGTAAAATAGGTGTATTTTTATATTTTTGTATACACAATTACTCATCCATGTTTTTCAGAATCACGCGACAATTAACCCGCAATATATCTATAAAAACCCCTCGCCGTCTACCAGCTGCCAAACGCCAATTCGGGACACAGCCTCCACAACCACCTAGCACTCCAACTTCCCATAGATTGCAGGTTCCCATTGAGATGGATGAAAGTCAAACAACAGACATGTATCTTATCCCAAGTCCAAGACGTTCAATGCTTGGTTCATTTCTGGGTGTAAGTCACTATTTTTCACATGTATTATATCGATATTACGGTGGGGTCAGATTTAAAATTGTTTGATTAGTAGTAGTATAAGTTACTCGGAAATATTTATTCAGATATTTTAAGATTCACAAAATAACCATTTACCAAGTGAGCCACAGCGGTGAAGGAGTTTTGTCGTTGGTTTTGCTTGTAGCTAAACATTTATGTTTACATTTACCCGAAGTAAAATTGAACCAATTCAATGTCAGCGCATTAACCGACCAAAAAGTATTCACCGAATCGATTGCATGGAACGATAAATTCATGGATGCTAATATGTGTTCTTAAGTTTAACCAGGTGTTTTGATTCGCACTTGTCTAATCGCATTATACTGGTTTCCATTCTTGAAACTAAGCCTATTAAAAGAACTAAAATTAATTAACAATGCATTCGTAGCTGTCACCCGAAAACTTCAACCACGGTCGTCTCGCCAACCCTACTTAAAAATATCTGCACTTTTATACATTAGGCGATCTACCAACTTCCCTACTCTTTTATTAAGGTAGATGTCGATAATGTACAGTATCGTAGCAATATTTCCTGCTCGGAGGAAGAAGGTCGTATATCTGACATTCCAGTGAGTATTTGAGGCAGTTTTGTAGTATTAGCACTCACCATCAACCATAAATAGTGTTGGTCACACCTTGATACCGATATAAATTTTGGTATATATTTGTTTTCTTGGGATAGATAAGCCTTCCTTACGCCTATTACACCTCGCGAATGAGCAAAGGCCGCTCACAAGCATTCTCCATTCAACCCTGTATTTGAGGACCTTGGTTTTCCCCTTGTGTATGTTGAGGCCTACTGATGCAGAAACTGTTGCTACATTGGTTGTCTTTATCTGCATTTGTTCGTGTGTATGCGATAGGAGGGCTAGGTCATCTGTGAAGTCCAAATCGTCTTATTGGTTCTGAGCTGTCCATTGTATGCCATGTCTTCCCTCAGATGTCGAGGTCTTCATAATCCAGTCGACCACCAGAAGAAAAAGGAAGAGAGAGAGTAAACAGCCTTGTCTTACTCCGGTCTTTACTTGGAATGCATCTGTCAGCTATCCTCCATGCACGACTTTGCATTGTAGTCCGTCGTATGAGTCCCGGATAATATTGACAATCTTCTCAGGAACTCCGTAGTGTCGAAGAAGTTTCCATAACGTCCTCCTATCCACGCTATCAAATGCCTTTTCATAATCAATGAAGTTGATGTATAGTAATGAGTTCCACTCAACTGATTGTTCGACGATGATCCGTAGTGTTGCAATTTGGTCTGTGCACGACCGATCCTTACGGAATCCAGCTTGTTGATCTCGAAGTTGGGCGTCTACTGCATCTTTCATCCGGTTAAGCAACACTCTGTTGAAGACTTTCCCTGGTACTGACAGTAGTTTGATGCCTCTGTAGTTTTCACATTTACTCAGGTCTCCTTTCTTTGGAATCTTGACGAGGTGCCCTTCTTTCCAGTCCATCGGCACTTGTTCCTCCTCCCAAATCTTTTTGAATAGAAGGTAAAGCATGTTTGTAGTTACTCCGATGTCTGACTTCACTGCTTCAGCTGGTATATTGTTGGGTCCTGCTGCTTTCCCGCTCTTGATCTATCTGTTGACCGGCCACTCTGATTTCTTCCTTCGTTGGTGGGTTGACGTCTATGGGAAGATCTGTGTGTGCTGCTTCGATGTCCGGTGGATTCATTGGAGCCGGCCTATTCAGGATTTCCTCGAAGTACTCTACCCATCTGTCCCTCGGTTGTTGCCTTCTTTGTCTTTGACCGGTCTCTCTGGTTTACTGTATTTCCCTGCTAGTTTCTTCGTAGTGTCGTAAAGTTGTTTCATATTTCCTTCTCTAGCAGCTTTTTCAGCCGTCGTTGCTAGTTTTTCCACGTATTTCTGCTTGTCAGCTTTAATGCTTCACTTGCTTGTTTGCTTCTATGTACTCAGCTTGTGCTTGGGCTTTCTCTGCTCGTGTTGGGCTGTTGTTAATTGCTGTCTTCGTGTTCTTCCTTTCTTTGATCCTGTCCAGTGTTTCTATAGAGATCCATTCCTTATGATGGTGTTTCTTTAGACCCAGAACCTCTTGACACGTTGAATTTGATGCTTCTTTGGTACCTTCCCAGTTGTCGTCCACAGGGGTTTTCTTTTTCCTTCGGTAGATCCTGTAAGACATGAAACCTGTTGTTGAGAGCTATTTTGAATTTAATGAGTTTGTCAGTGTCTCGAAGGAAGGTTGTATTGAACCTTTGTAGTGCTGTTTGTCCAGTTCTTCTCTAGCTTCAGTTTTAAATTGGGGACAATTAGATGGTGATCTGAGGCTATGTCAGCTCCTATCTTGCTTTTCACATTTTCCATTGTCCTTAGGAATATCAAATATGATCTATCTGGTTTTGGTGGAGTTTTGTTCTCTGAGCTGGTTCTCTGCGGTTTGGTCCGATGAGACCCATGTAGCCTTGTGTATACGTGTGTGTGGAAATATTGTACCTCCTATGACCAATTTGTTGAATGCACACAGATTTGCAAATCTTTCCCTAGCTTCGTTTCTCTCTCCCAGTCAATCCATGTCGTCCCATGATATCTTCATATCCTGTGTTGTCTATTCCGACTTTGGCGTTTAGATCTCCCATCAGAATGGTGAACTCCTTTCTTGAGCACTTTTCTATGACTGATGGCTGCCGCTCGTAGAATTGATCTTTAATGTCGTCGTTGCTATCATTGGTGGGTGCATAACGTTAGATAATATTCATTGTTATCCTCTCCTTCTTTGTTATGAATGATGCTTTGATGATTCTGGATCCGTGAGATTCCCATCCTACATAAGCATTTCATGCTACGTTGGACAGCATTAAAGCAACTTTCTGGGTGTGTGCAGAGTTTTCCTATTCGTGACCGGAGTATAGCAGCATCTCTCCCGTATTTAGCCTTTTCTGTCCAGCTTGAGTCCAATGGGTTTCTCTGGTTCCTAGTCCCGACCGTTGTTGCTACCTTGTCTTGGTGGCCGGGCTTGCCTATCGTGATGAAGCAACCGAGCTATACTGGCTGGAACAACCGTTCCTCAAGGTCCTACCATGTCAGACAGGTTGGTTGAAGAGCGGTAAGACTAAAAGCAACAAACCCAAGGTCCGAAGGCGAAGTCATGCTGCTGACTGTACAGAGGTGTGACAGCAGTAAGTTGTTTCCTTCAGACAACCAGCATGACAGCGATGCTGCCTTCCCACAAGTAGGGGTGGGGTTAGAAAAGTTCTACCCTAAAAATGCACGCTTCGCCTTATCTCACTGATATCCGTTTCCGTCGTTAAGGTTTCAACAAGTACGGAGCTAACACAAAAATTACCGAGAAAAAGGTTGTGTGTGACCGACCTCAAGCAATTGTCCCTTGGGTAATGCGGTCACGCTCCCAGTCACTAAGACCACCTATAATCCGATTTCCTTTTCAGGAACCTCCAGAAGAACCCTTCCATGGTGTGGGCAACCGGGAAACGATAACCGCCCTCATACCTCTAACAGCACTCAAGACCACTGTATTCATAATCAACTTCCGTCTTCAATTCCTATTATTACTCCTACATTACTCCTTCATCTCTAAACTTCGTTTTTCAACTTCCCCCTCAAGTGTCACCATAGCCAACGATTCTAGTGCTCAAAACACTGTCCCAGGTCTACTGAAACCTCGCTCCAATCTGCACATGGTAGGCTTCAACGTATGCACCCTATGTCAAATCGGTCAACAGGCTTCTTTGGCTAGAACCCTAGAATCTCGTACCATTGATGTATGCTGTGTCTCTGAAACACGTATAGAGGATCCCAGTGTGGTCATTCACTTGACCTCACCTCGGCGAAACGGAGAGCCAACGTGATACAACCTTCGTGTATCTGGTGATCCGATGGCCAGTTGTAGGCATAGCACTAAACATGAGGGCCGAACAAGCACTGCTAGAGTGGAAGGATAGGGACACCCGTCGTTATCTTTTTGTCGTTTCTGCCTATGCTCCCACCGACTGCAGCTCAGATGAAGTGAAAGATGAATTTCACAGAAAGCTAAACGTTCAGACATAGTACTCGTAGCAGGTGACTTTAATGGCCAGATAGGTAGTTTAAACCAAACAGAAAGGCATTTAGGTGGGTATTTTAGTATTCCGACACAGCGAACAGATAATGGTGATCGTCTGCTGCAACTGTGCTCAGACAATCATTTATTTTTAGCAAACACAAATTTTGAGCATAAGGAGAGCCATCGTCTAACATGGCGACCCCCTACACCAAACCAACGATGGACTCAAATAGACCATATTGCCATCAGTCATCGTTGGAGAGGGTCGGTACAAGATTGTTTCTCATTCTGGAGTACCTGGTTGGACTCCGACCATACCCTAATACGGGCACGCATCTGCTTGCGCCTCATTGAACTCAAAAAAGCCACATTAAAAAGACCCATTAGAACTGAGTTGAGTAACGAGAAAACCAAAAGTAAGTTCCAGGAACAACTGAGGTCACAGTTAGGTAGTTCTGAAAACAAGGCTGACCCAGATGTTGCTTCGGAAGAATTACAGGCAGCTGTGGAATCAGCAGTGACATCTATTAGCGACTTAAAGCACAGAGTTACAAAGAACCAGTGGATTTCTTCAAAGTCTATCACACTGATGGAATCTTGACCATATTGCCATCAGTCATCGTTGGAGAGGGTCGGTAGAAGATTGTCGCTCATTCTGAAGTACCTGATTGGACTCCGATCACGCCCTTGATACGGGCATGCATCTACTTGCGCCCCACTGGACTCAGAAAAGGCACACTAAAAAGACCCATTAGATTTGAATTGAGAGATACGAAAGCCAAACGTAGATTCCAGAAACAACAGGTCACAATTAGGCAGTTCTGAAAACGAGGCTGACCCAGATGTTGCTTGGAAAGCTATACAAACAGCAGTGACATCTGTCAGTGATTTAAACGACAGGGTTACACATAACCAATGGATTTCCTCAAGGTCTATTGCACTGATGGATTCTCGTGAACTCATCCCATCAGGCTCTGAACACGATGAAGAGCAACAACAAATCAGATCTAGGTTAACTAAAAGTCAAAGGAACGACTGTTTGCAGTGGTGGGCAGCGAAAGCAAAAGAGATGGAAAAGGCGGTGGCTGTAGGGAACACAAGACAGTTCTACAGACTAATAAAAGAAACTGGAATTAATAAGTCAAGTTTAAGTCAGACTATTTCGGAAAAAGATGACACCCTCATCTACTCTCAGTCCAGACGTTTAGAAGGATGGGCGGAACATTTCAGAGAACGGTTCAGCTACTCTACAACTACCCTCCATTCCCAGACAGTGTGAATGGAACATTGAAGTAGGTCCCCCAACTCTAGCAGAAGTTCAAAAGACTATAGTTAATCTGAAACGAGGAAGGGTAGCTGGTCCAGATGGATTGGCTCCAGAGGTCTTTAAGGATGGTGGTCCAATTTTAGCGATTAGGTTGACTAATATTTTAGCTAAGATCTACGAGTTAGACGTTATTCCATCTGACTGGTCACAATCAGTTATTGTCCAAATATATAAGAGATGGTTTAAATCTTCGTGTGACAACCATACAGGGATTAGTTTAACTAATACAATATCTAAAATACTAGCCTCGATAATTAGCAGACGCCCAACTAAGACTCGTGAACTGTAAACACGAAAGAGTCAAGATGGTTTCATACCTGGTTGTGGCTGCATCGACCACATATTCAATGGTTTGAATTATTTTTTCTGGTTAGCGTTTTTTTGCGAGTTGGTTTTCTACGGGATGGGGCCGCTAACCCCGTGCCCGACCCTCCTTCTTTACCCGGGCTTGGGACCACAGTAACTCCAGGAGAGCTACGAGCGGAGTTATAGATAAGCCTTACTAACACGCTATGTTAGCTGTTACATTCTAATCAGCACATTTCTGTACGCAAACTTGTAGTCTGTTCGGTGGTAAATAATATTATTTCAAGCGTTTTGTTGTTTGTTTTGCGCTGGGTTTGTTGACTATCTTTAATGTTTGAAATATGAATAAAACATTACCTACTACCTTTTCATCACTTTATCAAAACATGTTTCTTTTTATGTATTTTTAGTCATCTTGTACATCATTAAGCAATTTTCTAAACACAGCCTTGCGTACTAATAACAATCTAAATAATATTAATCATGGAAATTCCGCGCTCAATCGTGCTATGCTACCTCCTAGTCGTTTAGCTATGACACCTAAACCGATTCGACGTCTTCTACCTCGTTCATCCAGACAAAATTCATTCGATGATCTTGATCTAAATGATGATGATGATGTTCCTTTTTCTCAACTTGGAAGTTCTCTTCTTAGTTTAACAAGTCTAGACAGTCTCTCGACACTGGATAATCCTGTTAATCGAGTTGATGTTATTTCTAACCGCAATACTCCTAATCTTAAGTGCCGTGCCGGTAGTGCTGTTTGGGAGTCAACAAGTCATCTTGGTTTCAGTACATCAGATGATGTTCGTCATTCATTCAAATCACCATCCGGATCGTTTCTTGGAGGTTTTGATGAAGGATGTTCTAGAAAGCATGGTAAAAAGCAGAAAAAACCGAAACTTCGTGCCGTAAGTCAAATGTTTCAGAGATCTTCAATTATGGTTAAAGCAAAAGAGTCAAGGAAAATAGGCTCTGAAAAAAATGACGCTGATTTAAATTCTCAAAATTCCCTTCCTAGTTCCCGCCGTGACAGCTTATTTCGTGGTTTGTTTTTCAGAAAAAATTAATTTCTTATGCTGCCATGTACACATTAATATCCTCGTCTTGTTTGAATGAACACATTTGTTCGTTTGTATAAAATTTCGTTCAAGACAAATTTTTATAACAGTAATACTACTAATTATTTGCATTTTACTATATAGTGATATGTGTAATTAATTACAATGGTTTATTCTTCGTAATCGCCTTCTATACATTCCTAAGTTATATTTTCATCTAAATTTGCATAATATATTTTAATATTTTACTAAATGTATCTCACGCTAGGAGGCATTCAGAGATTAACTGCTACTTGCTGTTTTTATTCAAGCGCGAGCGTCATTCACCAAATGACATGGATTGGTGTTGTTACGAATAGAATGAATTTCGAACTACGTAGTAAGTGAGCATGTCTACTAGTTGGGAAGCTTTGCGGTGGATATAAAGGTCAATATACGATACGTGTATCAAAATTAAATCACAATCTGAAAGATAGAGGTGGCTCGACTTTCAAACACTAAGCCCTAGGTTCGAACTCACCCCCATATACTTTATATTAGACAGTTTGGTTGTATCACTAACCCCTAGTCAGTTGGTCATATGAAACGTAGAACCTGACACTTGTGTAATTTGATATGATTTTTCACACCCTATTAATACAGTATGATAACATCGTCAAGGCAAATCGTAGAGTAGTTGAGGTAATAACTATTAGTGGTAATAGTACAGGTGGAAAATTTGAATTAATGGAGTTGGAACAATTTTCTAAATTAATTTAGAAACTGAGGAACTAAAGAAGGGAAATAGTGAGTGCACATCCACCATTCTAGAGGGTTCTGGGGTATGTATCCCGACTACTCTCACCACTGGTTACAATAATCTTGTGGACCCCCAACAAGTATTGCCAGTCCTGTATAGCTTTCTTTTATACCACGACACCATGTCATATACTGACCACCTCTCCACTTTTTCCAACCAGTCCCGGAGTCCACAAATAATGCACGACGTGGAATTCTCTGAGACGACATTCGGAGAACATGTCCAAGCCACCGAAGTCGGTGTTTCAAGATGGTGACACCAATTGAATTATCGTCTCTGTGCTCGAACTCACGATGCCGAACCTCCGCATTACTAACATTGCGTTGCCACTGGATGTCAGAAATCCTTCGGTGACAACGATGATCAAACACAGAAAGTCGTCTAACATTCTCAACTCGGAGCCTGAAGAAACCCAGTGATTGTAAGCGGGACGTTTCGCGAAGCCACACGCGGCTTTACTCGCAATTTTCATGGCGTCATGCAGTTGCAACCAATGCTCATCTATACTTTCCGGTGGAGTGGTAGCTAACCTAGAAGATGGCTCGGTTCGATACTTACTTGCAACAAAAGTTGCAACCAATTTACTGGCATCAATCCTTTGGTGACGATCACTTCGTTGGCCACTGAGAAGTAAGGTAAGATTAGCGCAAACAAGTGCATAATCAGAATCCGGATAGGTACTCCGAAAAGATCGACAGTCTTGTACAGAATCACGATGTCTAACTAGATCTCAAGAAGAGCAATCTTGAGAAAGTTAGGCTGGTTTCAGATATGCACGTGAATGTGTAGAATAAATGTTCATCCTTCAGAACATTCTGGAATACAGGCATACTTTCTGACGTTCGACCATATTTGGTGAAGTTCTCTGACTGTGTCGTTAAACAGCCTTTCAACAAGGTGCATAAATCCTGTACTGGCTCTTTACTCGATCCATCCTTGTCGAGTTAAATCATATGTCAATTTGTCAACGAAATAGGTTAATTCAAATGTTCGTCAAGATCGTCCGCCTTATTCATTTTATATTTAACTTTCTCATAGACATGCTGTTAGAGATGGCATTTTCATCATATGACTTTTCAGGGTTGATCTATTAGGATATTGCCTTGTTGACTATTTAGTGAGGACACTAACAGAATGCCGCGCCTTCTGACCACGTTAAGCAGCAATCCAAGCATGTTTGGAATAGGATTCTCTCCTTAAAAATGCTAAATGTTGCTTCAGAATTGGATTACGTCAGCGCGTGAATTATCAAAAGAGAGTAAAGTAATTGAAATTGTCGATCTCGCATATCTTGGGATTCTAAACATTCCTGGTGGGATGTCATATGGATTTAAAAGCTTCGATTGACTTTTGCCAATTTGCATCTTTTGTGACGTAGGCGAGATATACTTCTCCCAATCAAAGGACGAGTTTACAGCACTGCAGTCCTCTTCGTTCTGTTTTATGGATGTTAAGCGCCCATTAAGAGCAGAGGATATTCGTAAATTACTGGTATTTGTTCATAGGTGTGTATATGCCTACGCCATTGTGATCGATTCTAAGCCATGTCACCAAGAGTCTCCAATCAAGTAGTAGTTTGCATCTACCAACATGGATCAGACCAGAAGTTAGTGACTTAACCAAAACGTGTCATCAGTTTATGAGGTCACTGACAGCCGAACTGTACCATGTCAATTGGTGTGTACTACTTCGTTGGGTTCGTATGATTGTCGTAACCAGTGTTTTAAGATAGTAAAATGGCTCGAAATAATTTGCAATCGCTCAAGGTCCATCCATCTTTTCTCATTCCCTAATTTCTGGGATTTTAAAATTATCATAATCCTAATACTTGTTTCTGTCCTCATAAGTAGTTCACACCACATTACTATTATTTCAACACATAGATATTGGTATAAAGAGGCACCAAATACATATGCGCCACACAAATCTCATTCGATATGTGGGAGGGCTGTGATACTGCCCGGGTGCCCAGACCGAAGCAGGTACACCACATTACTACTGCCACTATTCTGCCATTTGGCCTGATATCATCTGTTTGTGTTTACGAAGTATGGCAGCATGAACCGATGTACATATGTACCAGGTTTTACCTTGTGAGTGACTGACTCCGGTTCAGAGGTTATGAACCACTTTTAGGTCACTAGAATTAGTTTTTTTTAGTTACTGTTTCCTTTCAAAATTCTTGATCTGCTAGACTTTAAGGAAGTGGAGTTAGAAATTTTCTCTTCAATAAAGCGGTTGAGAACCGATGGGAATTCTGTTTTATACGATCACTTAGGTTATTGACGCGTTTGCGGTATGTTTCTAATTAGATTGTACATTTGTGAATACCTTCTTGTATGGAAGTTCTTGAATTTAGTTGCACAGTTTGATTAAACTCTCATTAATATTCTAGTGGCTTAACACAAGGAGATTTAGAAATAATATTACATTCTGTGGTTTTATCAATTTTTGCGCTTGGATATGTCTATTCGGTTAGTAGCGAGTTTGCAAGTATCATTATCAACGTGTAACTTGATACTTTCTAATAGATTTAGGATAGATAGATTTTAAAAAATATAGACAAATTTATCAAATCTTATTAAATTTAAGCATTCTATGAATTAATTAACAATTCGAAATACTTCAGATAAAATCCTCATCACTTCGACACAGAAATTCGTATACAGATTAGGATATTTAGATTATGCTCACTTCGTGAAATCATGACTCATAACAAAGAACATCCGAACTACCTAAACAGACCTTCAAATAATCTTGTAGAACTAGGAAATCTACAAATTTATTCAGTAATATATTCCCAATTTTCAAGATAAGTAACTAGTGGAAAATTTTTATTTATGTCGTTACCGCTCTAGTCTCAATAGAAAGCTAAACGATCTATACAGCATGTATCATTTATTGGAATATCTACACATTCTATCCTTTTCACATCTCATACCACTAACAAATATTTGTGTAAAATTATATTTGAAATAATCTCAGCTACTGAATTTTAAATGATCCCAACGTTTCGTCAGTAGTCTTAACAGATGTTTGTTATTTCATAATATCGAATGTAAAACATACATAGTGGATCCGGGGTAGATGAGAATCTTACTCCTATAATATTGGGTTGGATGTGTTTGGGAAGGGATTGTTTTTTCTCTTGGAAGGTTTTTAATCATCCCAAGGAAGTGGATAGTAAATTTTGTTTAGATTTCGTAGCTGTATCACAAATGAACATATCGTTGATGCAGGTTATTCAGTGGATCTAAATGTGATTGAGCATGCAGTACAGTTGTAGATCTTAGTGTTGTGTGGTGGGTGTTATTCCTTTCATATATATACATATGTAGATTATCACGTCGCACCCCCCATATGTTGCTTGTCTTGCTTCGATTTTAGTCTAAGAATTATTTATGGTTTAAAGACTAGATATAATATGGTATCAATTTAGGCGTCGTGACTTACGAGTTATGGTGATACTAAGACCTACAAATTCCTAGTAACTGTATGTTCTATGACATCAGACCATATCATTACAATTTTTCGAGTTCGTTAAAGTTATATCTTGGTGTGAATCAAAACAGAAGAAAATTTAGTTGTATGAACCATCAAATACTAATCTTGTGAACATAAAACTACTGATTAGTACACTCCCCTTCCATGAAATCACATGAATCTAATTTTATTTTCATGAGAAACAAGTAAACTATTTTTAGATCAATGTTTAAAGCTAAGTCACTTTCTAAATTCTTTTCACTAAGTTACAGGAGCAGTGTTTACGTCGATAAATCCTTGTAAGTTTATTTACCGTCACTTTTAGTAGAAGTTTCGGTTTCAATTTAAATATAATGTTCAGTACATTTTTTCACAATCTCACGTATTAATACTAATTACTAGTCTCTTACCTTTGGACAAAATTTTCTTTAACGTTAACATTGAATACTTTATATACCCACAGACGATGTTGCTTCCATATATAAAAGGTCTTCATGGCTTTAGTAAATTGATCTTTTTATAGTTTAATCATTGGAGACCATCGTATGAATGCTCATTTTCTGTTTAGGGTTGTGAACCGATCAATATTCGGTTTATGATAGTAGGAAGTCAACAATCTCCACAACCTTATACAGACAATATCATGTGCTCACTGATGACTAGTTTCGAGTGGTGGTTCTCGGAGTTCTAGTCAGAAGCTGTGACGAGTGGACTTCCACCGTGGACGCGCACTGCTGAGGAGTCCCATACCAGGATGAAACGGCCGTCTAACGATTCCAATTTTTCATTAGTGGTCTAAAATTTATCAGTTTACGATCTCAATAAAAAGATAACTGATTTTATTTGAAATAACTGACGATATAAAACATCTTTATT